TTCAGAAGATGATTTTTTTTTCCGGCAGAATTAGGGCACCCCACTATAGCTAATAATAGTACAATGTCTTTTTTCTGCTGTCAAAAACTGCATTAAACATGATGAATTTTTATTCCTGTCATTTTTTTTTCTACTTGTATCATTCCATTAATATCAAGTTAGAAAGCATTGTTTGTCTATGCATACTTGCAAACGATTCTCGACTGACGCAACTAATGCTTCAGTTACATTGTCTTGAATTTGTTTCAGCTTTTATACATTTTTCGATAGTGTACCTTTTGGAATTGATACCATAAAGACCAAGAACGACAAATAAGGACGATAAATTGGTTTTGAATATGCAGCACTATTTTTACCAATCAATGATGCAATGGAACGTATGAAAAGTATACTAATATATATAGTTTTCGATTAAAAACAACAATAAAACAAATAATGTATAATAGGAAGCATGGAACCAATTATTAATATATTTGTGCCTATGTAAAACAATGCTCATCTAGCTAAAAAACAAAGAGCTTTTACACAAAATATTTATTCATTTTTGATCTGCTAGAAAGTGTTTCCAACAAATCAAAAGCTACAAATTAGGATAAACAAATTAACTTAATTGTTCAGTAAGGTTACCAGCACATCAGTCTTTCTCTCGATGAACTTTGACGTATAATATCCAATTTTACCTGTATTTAGAATTGAATTAGCTCATACTTTTCTATGTCCGTCTTATTCTAGCTCTGTTAGACGAATAATACCAATGTTCTCCTGATTAACGTCTATTATAAGATCCTTTCGCTGCATTATGTATCAAAGCCCATAGTATTCAAACAATAGTTTGAATGTACAGTAGAAATCCTTGATTCATAGAATATTTTGGAAGATTCTAGAAAATTCTAGAATGATCCAAGCACTGTCATTACTAACGCCCCTTTTCCTGTTGCTATGGAAACATCCAATAATCGTTGCTTTCCCGCTCTGGTTACTAGGACTTAAGAGGAAGTTGTTAAAACCTCGATTTAAACTTCCAATCATTATATTTTCCTCGAGAAAATGTGTGAGTTCCACAACAACTGGCAATGGTGAGTCACTAACATCAAGCGACAATGGAGCAGCTGCAGCCACAACAAAAGAATTACAGTTGTTTAATTAGTTCTTTGTTCGTTTTTTTTAGTTTAGCTATATCAAGTATTACTCATCATCATTACCATCGATTATAAACCCAGACCAGTAAAGTTATAATAAAAATAACAACGAACTATAAGTACTTAGAATCACTATTTACTTGAAACGTCATTTTTTTTCGATATTTCTCTGTTTCTACATTTTCCCTTTCAATGTTTTTTAGCACATTGAAATAGCTGAGTGGCTACGCTTTATGCATGTATTCCAACTCTGATACTAGCAGTCGTGAAATGACCGTAAGCAAGTCACTAACGGTTGTTTGTCTCGGATTAGTCATACGAAAGCGTACTCACTAATCTATGGCATACATCTATCCTCACGATCAGTATATGTTTAGTCAGTGCATATAGGCAGTGGAAGGACTCAGAATCAGACCGGCCTTCTGTTCAGAGCTACAGTTAGTTTTAGCTCTGAAGAAGTTATCGAAGTAATGAATCTGCTGCTAAACAGCCTCCTAAACCGTAAGGTAGCCGAAAGGTATAAGTATTCTTCCTTCTTGCTACCTGAAGCAAAAATTTTTCGAAGAGCTTCGTTCCTATTATAAAAGGATCCTTTTGAACAGTTCCTCAGATCGATGCTATCCATCTTTCATTCACCTTTAATTATTTCATATAGATTGAAGTAATCGTGAAGAATTCAAATAGATGGTTGTGTCGACGAAGATTAGATTTGTGTTATTATCACTTTCATCGATTCTACTTCGATCTTATAGTGCTCTATTGGTATGCATAATTGATTTGAATTTTAAAGATCAAAATTGAAAATCGTTTCAAAACTATTTCATCACAAAGCAACGGCATAATCTTGTCTTTTATTACTATTTCACTAACAAATAAAAACGAATTTTCTTTAAAATATGAATATCTGAAAAAAAAAATTCTTTTTTTATTTAAGTATCAATGGTCGAAATTCTGCTCGATCCAAATGTTTTAAATGTCGTTGTTGATTTGCACTGGGTAAACGTTCAAAAGCTGTTTGTAATATTTGTATTGCATCTCCATGACTAACAAGAAAAATTGTTTGATTTTCATATTTTTCTTCAAGTTCTTTAATTAAAGATGTTGTTCGTTCTCGAACACTTTCAGCGGGTTCAATTTGATTATTAAGATTTTTTATCGGATCATCTTCATCATTTTTCCATATAATATTATAATTTTCATCACTTGTACCATCATATATACCAAAGAAACGTTCACGTAAACGTTTATCTAATTGAACATTTGACTTATCATTATTTAAACTTGAAAGATTTGAAGCAAGAATATCCGCTGTTTCACGTGCACGACGAAAATCACTTGCAATAATTATATAAGATTTATTCGAAGGATTATTTTCAAGAAATAATTTTGTATTTTCGAATACTTGTATTCGACCATAGGATGAAAGTCCATGAGACTCAATACCTATTTGTGGATTACTACTAATAAGATGTGCTACATTAGCTTCAGATTCACCATGACGTACACCGAAATATTTATTACGAAGATTGACAATATCAGATAGATGATTGATAAATGTCATTTTTATAGATAAAAATAATTTTAGATGATTACGTCACAGACAGTGTTTCCAACGGAAATCTAAAAACAAAATATTAATTTTTTTACAAGGAATACATATGATTACACTTTCTTTTCGCTAACAAAATATTTAAAAAAATTATTTTTCTACGGTTTTTTAACAGGTAATATAAACAAATCAACGGTACATGAACGAACTAATTTTATCACCTGAAATGTTTACAAAAAATTAAATGCTTGAGTTTATTCACATGCTATTTTGTATTTATTTCAAAATGGCCTATTTTGATGATATTAAGAGAATACATACAATAGTACAAAGAAGAAAAATATCCTCTTTAATCCTTTTCAGTTTTAAAGTGAAATTATGTTTAAAGGTATCTATTTTGAGAATCGATAAGTTTCACAAATGGTTACTAACGTTTTGACCGATAATTGATGATGATGTAGCTTTGATTCGAATCGTCAATCTAACTCGAAAATTTCGCTCGATTATCAAAGCTATCCATACATACAATATCAGACATATATTTATCGCACGTATACAGAGTTCGAATAGTCACACGAAAAGAACTTTGAGTAAAATTGTCGCTACAGTTTGGAGCTACCTCATCATCGATTATTGGTAACAGAGTGGGTAACTATTGGGAAAGTTTATCGTGTTTTAAAACAGATGCATTTAGGCGTAATTTCACTCTAAAACTAAAAAACGATTAAATATCATATTTTTCTTTTGCCCATGGGATAGTAGTACTATCATTTAAACATAAGTTTTTATTTAATACTACATAAAGATTTAAAGGATCTAAAATCGAAGACTAAATTTCATCAACAACGTGTATTTGAAAGTTAGTAAATGTTCTATACATTTTAATTCTATTTGATACACTAGTTATTAGAAACATTGGTCACAAGAAGATAAGATGTATTATTTTTATTATGATTCGTTATGCATCGCAACTAATTGTGAACTCAATATTTTATTTAAATAAAGATGTCCTTATTAATAGTAAAAAAAAACAGACATTTGGTCGTTATGATTACTTTTCAAATGTTTCATATATTTTATATCATTGTAAAATCATCGTTTCAACTAATTATTAAATATATATGTAATAATTACCTTTTCATATAGTTATAGGTTATTAAAACAGAACGAACAACTTCTATTCATTCGTGTCATCATTTATTTGATTTGCTGTAGCTTATACGTATGACTATACTTAATGAATTGCGCAACTCCAATCTATCGCAGTTTATAGAAGATTTATAGTTGATCATGAATGCATTAATATGATAGAATTTTTATTCTTTGTTTATCCACAGTGATATAGTACTAATCATCAAAAAGTTGTATCAGTTCTCTTTCATATCTAAATTCTTTTTTTAAATAAACATCTTCTAACTGAAGAGAGGAGTCATTCCATTGATGAATCAATTCTGACTTTGGAACTGTATTTATCATAAGGGCACTAATGAGCTATAAATAACTTGAAAGAATTCGGGCTATTAGTTTATTTCTGACGAGATATTGTATTTCTATAGCTTTCTTCAACTCAACACTGTGATAAGGTTCATAGGAATGTGCAGTTACAGTACAATATTCGCCGACAATCCAAACTGACTATAGTGGATCAGAATTTACTGATTTACCTCACGTATTCATACTAGATGGATATGCCAATGTTTCAGTTAACATCGGTCTAGTGTAGTAAGTGTACCAATAGACTTGCTGTCGATTAATCACTGCCAGTATTTCAGTATTTTAATCGAAACTGCACATCTATATTTCTCTCAGAAACACCAGAAAAATATGATTTTAGAATTTTGACTTGAAATTTTGCATAGAGGCAAGTCTTCAAGACATATAATTTCTTGTGAAAGTTTCCAGTCTTTCGTTGTTCCTATCTTAATATACAGTTATGATGAAAGCGTTTCGTTTACATTCCTCATAAACAAGAATAGATTCGATGTTTTTATTTCAGAATCGAAGTTAAATCGTTTTTTATTAATTTAATTTTCTAGCGAATAATCCAACTTTCGAAAGAATATCGCCTACATTTGATGCAAATATATTTTATAATATATTCTTATTCTTTTTTCAAGAATTCGATTTTCTGAAGACAACATCAATTTTTAAAGTCGAAGTAGAACTGATATTCCTAATCTAGTTTACAAATCATAGATATATCTTTGCAATGCATCAATTTATTCTTGTAAGAAAAAGAAACCACTATGAACTATTTCAAATCATTAAAAAAATAAACATTTTTGTTTAATTTATTTTTTGAGATCGTTTTCTTAAGAAGATAATGATCTAACAATATTCTGTAAATTAGATACATCTGGATGACCGTTTGGTAAATATTCACAGCGACTTTTTAATGCATGTTCATAATAACATTTTGCTTCAGATATTTTTCCTTGTAGATGAAGTATTGAACCAAGATTAAAATAGGTTGAAGCAAATAGTTCAGACGGAAATATTGAATTTTCTCGATTATTCGAAAGAATATTTAATGCACGAAAAGCATGCTCAAATGCATGACTAGCTATATTCAGATGTTGATAGGCTAATCCCATATTTGAAAATAATGGTACAAGACATAAACTATCTTTTTGACGATTATCAGGTGTAAAATTTCGAGTTAAATTTATTGCCGATTTATATTCTTCTAATGCTTTTTGATATTCATTTAAACAATCATATATAATTCCCATATTGTAATGTAAAAGAATCGGTCGAATCAATTTAGTTTCAGAATTAAATAGTTGTTCCAATAATTTTCTTATTGGTTTAAAGCAATATAATTTATCTGTAATTGTAGAACCTAATTGAGATAAATCATTATTTTGACGTAAATCATCTACATTTATAAATTGTGTAAGATCAGTTAATTGATTATCAGCTTTATCTATCGCTGTTAAATGAACCAACCAAACTGATGAAGGATCAGCAAATTGTTCAACTTTCCCAATACGAAATATACTTGACATTGATAAAAGATATTCTTCTTCATGAACAAATTCACTTACAGTACCAATATTAGCATACCAAAAATTCAATTCATTTGTTTGTGGAATAGAAATTTTAAAAAGAACTTTAATATTATTAGCATTTGTTTTAGAACCTTGATGTTGAATATACGTTAATGGTACAGTTTTTTCTGTATTTGCAAATAGAAATTCATTAATACACAGAATTCCATCTTGATTTGATAGCAATTTAACAAAGTCAGTATTTGATATTAATTGACTGAAATAAAGATTAAGTATTTTTGATGGTGAAGACTTTTGTTCTCTATATAATTGTTTAAGTTTATGATTAAGATCTTTTAAAAATGGAGTCATCATACATAATGTATATAAATCATTTAATTGTAATGCACGATTAATAATTTCTTGAAAAAAATTATCTCTTGTAAACCACCATATAGGATTATGTTCAGAATAATTTTTTTCAAATTGATCAATTATTGTCATTTGATTTTTACTTCTATATTCTGTTCGACAATAATTTATCATATCTTTTTGTATTATTGAATTCATATCACATAATATTAGTTTACTTAATATTGCATATATATATGGTACTTCTTCTTGATCTGTAGTTGGTAATTTAAAATTTTTATTTAAAATATCAAATTGTAATTGTTCATATTCATATGATGATTGTAAAATAAAATATTTTTTCAAACGTTCACATATTTCTCCTATATCGGTAAATACTCCAAGAACTTTTTTATATTGTTTTGCCCATGATTGATAATTAGATTTATTTAAACAGAAAATAAATATCGAATGAATTTGATCAAGATTATGTACTAATGGTATAAGTTGTTTTCCCATTGTACCAGATACAATAAGAAAAATATTATTGACATGTTTTATAAAATCTTGACATATATTTATATCATTAAATGTATGTACAAGTTTCCGTTTTTTACTTACAATACGTCCAAGTTGAACTAATGTATTAATATCATCATTTGAATTTGTACTTAAACCAATTGATGCATCACACCAAACAACGACAGGTGAAATTTCATTTGTTTCATTAGGAGTTTCTTCAAAAGAAATTCCCTTTGTTAAAGAAATAGAAATGGGTGAACTTTTTCGACTTGGATCTTTTTGGTGAATATTACCCATGTAAGAATAATACGTATAAATTAAATTGACACTTAATGATATAAAACAAGATAATTTTTTGTCTAGAGTGAATATATATTATGTAGTTAAGAATATTTTATAAATATGAAAAGAAGAGTGAAGTAAAAACGATGTGATGGAAAGAATCCTTTCCCAACTCATTATTTTTATTGAATGTTATTACCCTCACTCTTGACATATGCTTTTAATTTCGATAGTACAGGTGAAAAAAGCAAGCCAGTATGAATAATGATTCGTTCCTTATACTTTGAAAGGCATGATTTATACCAACGCAAATTGTTCTATCTTATGACTCAATAAAAAAAAAAGAAAGAAATATTTACGATTAATTATTCATCATAAACAAACAAGGCTAAAATAATATCAAATATCGAGTCAAAGAATCATAGAGCAACATTTTTCGTCATCTACGTATTTTTCTGTACACGCTTCAATGATTTTTTTTTGTACGTACAAGCAATAATATGTACATGTGATTTTATCACTCTTATAGCGTAATATTCCACCAATCGACTATTAACTGGTGATAGCATTGTAAAGAAGTATTTACGTATTTTACCACATATGACGATACATGTTAATTAGATTTTTTTGACGTCAATTAATGAAAATTTTCATGTATTGCGTGTTTAATTAAAGATAATATTTTGATTACATTCAGTAGCATCGTAACTGTAAGGGAATGATGTGATGCACTGATTTAAACAATATTTTGCCATTGAAGTGAAGAGAAAGGCAATGTGACTCTCATGGGCAGTTTCTGCTTGATGAAAAGCTTTTGGTAGAGTTTAACTGACATAACTTCAACCAATGTGGAGAGCTCAGTAACCTTGATTACACTACTACTGTGACGGTACTAGACATCATCTATGTTTTCTCTTTCTTTTTCTTATACAAACATTTATTCATGTTTATGATTTTTCCGTTTTAGATACTCTTTGTCTTACTCATTTTATTGTTTTTTATGATTACTATTCATTTCTTGCACATAATTTTCTTTATTGTTATACTTCTGCTTGACTGTTTCATTCGGTAGTTCAGTTCTTTACTTTGTATACATTTCTCTTGTTCTTCCTCTTTCTCTTATCTTTTATTGAGATCTTCTTCTTGTTATTATTGTATTTAATAAATTGGTGAACTTTGATTTATTCAAAACTCATAATTACTTCATCATTTTAATGTATGCTGTCTCATTGTGTCACCTGGGATCGCATTTCAGAGAAGCGCATCGCTCTGTGTCAGTTAATTTTTTTTTTTTTTTTGAAGAAGAAAAGAACCTCTTTTTCAGGGCTATGTATCTAACTATATCTAATACGAACGAAGATATTACGCTCCTTGTTTTCAAGATTTTAGGAAGTTACGGTCTAGTTATATGGCTAGGAGATTATGGATGGTAGAACAGTGCCATACCATTTGAGGAAAAGTTCATCAAATATAGTGTCAGTGATGGTAACTATTATGTTTTTCTTTTTCTTGATGATAGGAAGGACGACTAGTCTTGTCTTTTAGCTACTGTACGGTATGGAATACTGCCAAGTCGTAAATTCAATCGTTCAATATTTTTCGTTCATTGACACTAACTAACCACATATTAGCCACAAGACCAAGTATATATCACAGCTTAATCAACACACTATTGGGTGAGTGATCCAAGACAAAATAGTCATTAGTAACTTATCCAGAGTCATTGCATAATGGACGGTACTAAAGTTTGCACACAGTAAGTTATAGATACGTGTCGAACAATGCAGCCACTCAGTTATAGTTGCTAAATAGTAGAACCCTGCCAGATCTAGTTCACCCTTGATTATGTCCCATATTATAGCTACTTCCTCTTGATTTAAAGGTTTAGTTACGTTCTAGATATTCAGAAACCTAATGCAGTAAACCACTTCTCTCAACCGATTGGACATAATTTTTTATCTATTTTTTTTTAAATATATCTTACAGATCTATGAAAACCCCCTATGGCAAATAAATATTAATAGAATAACAATAATATCATTCATTTGTATAATACAAAATACAATTATATGTAGATTATATATAAAACTTGTTTCTAATGATGAAACAAGATAATAGGCGTACATTTATTATTCTTATATCTTTTATTGACAATTAACAATTAATTAGATAGAACAAATACAAAATATCTTCAGAGACTGATTTAAGAGGTTATTGAGAAAAAATTGAGGGAACAAAGAGAAATTTTTCTCTTCCGAAAATGTGTTTTTCAATGTCTCACAGCATAATTGAGCAAAAATTGTCTTCATACAGCCTTTGATGAACTTAGAAAACCATTTTTTACGTATAATTGTCCATCTTTTGCCAAAATCGTAGATTCACGGTTATGTATCTTATCATTATCTTCAAAAATATTAGTATTTGATGATAAAAGACCATTGATTTCAGTATTTGCAGCTGTTATTGTTATTCTTCGTGTTGAAGTTTTTCCATTTAAAACTGATGATTTTCTTCCAGTAGTTTGTGATATTAATGATGGTCGTGCTCCCAAATAAGTTAAAGTTTTTCGTCGATGTTTTGAAAATGTTATACAAAAATGTTCAGTTAAAACAATAAAAAATAATGGGTTAAGTATACCTTCAATATGACTAAGTAAAACAACAAGTTGATGTGCATATTTAAGAAAATGTTTTAAGAATGGTCGTCGCCGTATTGTTTCATCAAGAAGAAAACTTGTATAAAATTTAAATATCCAAAATGGTGTATAACATATTAGAAATGATAAAACAATACATAAAACAAGTTTAACACCACGTGTTCGTTTTTTTATTATATTTAAACGTGTTAATCTTCGTTTACGATTTAACCATTGATGTAAAAATCGTAGTAATTTTAATGAAAATACAACAATTATTGAATATGGTATAATAAAAGCCATTATATATAATATCATTTCATAGATAAGTAATGCACGTTCAGATAGCATTGAACGACATGTTAATATAGGTGATAATGTTGTGGAATTTTTATTTGTTGTATTACTTTGATCATAAAGATATGTATAGAATATAAATGGATATGGTAAAAGTAAACCAACTGTCCATATAATCAATAATGATATAAAAGTAATTAATAAACGAAATTTTGCTGGTAATTTTGAACGTGCATCTATATAACGTTCCACACTTAATGCTGCTACTGTATAGACAATTACCTAAAAAATATGGCAAATGCCATTTTATCTTATAGCAAAATACAATGGGCTTCGGATTGATTATGAGTTTAATAACAATGTATTTAGTTTTTTTCTCTATAGAAAATTACCTAATCTTCGATTTTACTGAGTGTGTTAACTTTTTGAAAAATATTCTTTTCTAATTTAGAATGAAAAACTACTTCGAAAAATATTATATGATTCTACTTAAACTCAATCATGAGATTAAAATATCGTTTTTCGATAGAGAAAATCCTAGCATGTTTCAAAGTATGTATTTCGAAATATCTTCGTAAGTCTATCTACTTTTGTATGACAAAAAAATAAAATTCAGTGTCTTATCATCGTGAACCAGAGAAGTACCCACTTGAATTGTTTTTACTGATGACAAAATAGACGTTAATCCTCATTTTAGTGACATCAACATAGAAACATATAAAAAAAATGCGATAGTACTTACCTAGATCAATGATTCTGACACCGTGAATTTCCGGCAGATGTCCACTGGAAAACTCGGGTACATGATAAAAGCTTGAGAGAAAAGAACCAGTAAGTGAATCCGATGACCGAATCTCTCAAGTTCCGGTAGTAACCAGGCATTGATAGCCACCAGATCCGATCATTAGATTCCTTCTTTCAAGTTCTTACAATATTCTCAAGTTTTTCAGTCGAAAACGGCCCGTATTTCTTGTCTGTAGACGTAGTATCTGTTATTATGACTCAATATCAGAACAATATGGTATACCATATTCGATATTAATATAACAAATTAGCTCAGATGACAAATAGTTCATCGAATAACTAGTACTTTTTACACAAAAAAATTCGGCCACCGTGAGTCAATTTTCTCAAGTTTCGTCGATGATTCCAATGGATGCATTTTTCATCAAAAAAAAATTATTATTTTTTCTTTTGGTATATCCTTCATCATCGAAGATAGTTTCTTATACTAAATCTGAATGTGATATTTATTTTGTTTTGAAATTGAATTATAATACCAAAAACTACTAAGTACTACCGCATTTTTCACATGTTCTTATGTTTCGTGTCAATGAAATCAAGATAAAGGCTATGTTCTTATTAATAAAAGAAAATCTGAGAAAAAAATAGATAAGTACTTTTCTAGCTCGCAATGATAAAGCGCTTATCTTTACTGCTTGTCACCAAAAAGTACGTAGACGTACGCAGAACCTCTCAAATACATATTATGAAGCACATCAAGATAATCTACATTTTCTTAACCTCCTTATTAAGTCTGAATAGCATCATACGATATTTTTCGTAACAGTTTTTTGTGCTGAATCGGAATAAACAACTTTTTAAAAACTGCATTCATCGTTTTAAATGCTCCTTTATAATCATTGAAGTTTTCTCAAAGTTTTATTTTTCTGTCTAAACAAATAATCGAATAGAAATAAAAGCTACATATGCATGATAAATTCGTCGAGCTTTATCGTGCCGTAATAGAAATGAGCGTAAAAACAATTGACTCGAATTTTGCATCAAGTATCGCGTGCAGATAAGTTCAAAGAAACATTCTAAAGGTTATTCTTTTATGTAAGATAATTACTGATCTTAGTAGTAACATTTTCGGACGTATCTATCTTTAAAATCAATTCTGAGACTCAATACTGTGGAGTTTTGCCATGGCCACATATTTCAGTTTATTAACATATAATTAAACGATATGAAGTAAAATACAGTACTCAAATATGAAGAAGAACTTCTATTAATGAACTTTCTATTCGCACTTATGTGAATGAGGTACTTATAAGTAATTATGGTAAATTGCTTTGTTCTT